TAGCTTTCTTAAATAATAAGGGTAAATATTTGACCAGAGCATAATTTTTGTAGGGGAAGGAAAATATCCAACTTCAGCCCTTTCTAGCCTTTAATAGAAGGAGCAGGAGCACAGGTCACTACATGACTGATACTAATACTAATCATAGATTTAGACCTTCTCCCCACTATCATATCACCACATCAAAGGGGCTTCCTGTGCAATAACAGGCAATTATATCTGAACTGCACAGCTTAGACCTATTTAAGAAGTCTCTGGGAAGCCCAAAGACAAAAACAAGGGCAATAGAGGACATTTTAGCCTCTGATACCTACAGCTATAGCAGAGTAAACACAGCCAAACTCCTAGCTAGATAACATAAAACCCACACTAAAACCAATTTACTCAGTTTCCTTTACCCAATATATCAGACCAGATTCAGCAAAAAGCTACAAGACATGCTAAAAGACAAAAACCACATTTTGAAGAGACAAAGCAAGTAGCAGACCAGACTAAGATATGACAGAGATTTGGAATTATCAGATTGGCAATTTAAAATAACTGTGATTACTGTCTAAGAGATCCCATGGAAAAAGTGGACAACATGCAGGAAGAAATAGGATAATGTAAGCAAAGAGATTAAAACTCTAGGAAAGATTAAGAAAGAAATGCTAAATAAAAGTACAATGAGAGAAATGAAGAATGTCTTTGATGGCTTAATCTGTAGGCTGGAATAGCTGAAGAAAAGAAATCAGTGAGTTTGAAGATATCTCAATAGAACTGAAAATTTCAAAACTAAAGTTAAGAGAAAAAATCCTGAAAAATAATGGAACAGAATATCCAAGAACCATGAAATAATTATAAAAGGTATAACATACATGTAAGGAATACCAGAGAAGAAGAAAGGGAAAGGAACAAAGGAATACTTGACAGTAATAATGATAATTTCCAAAATTATTGACAGACACCAAACCACAGATTCAGACAGTTCACAGAATTAAGCAGGATAATTACCAAAAAATCTACACCTAGCATATCAAATTCAAAATGCAAAAATCAAAGACAATTAGAAAATCTTGAAAGAACTAGGAAAGGGGAAAGGGAACCTTGTCTCTGGAGGAAGAAGGAGAAGCATTATAGCAGACTTCTCTTCAAAAACCAGCAAAAGAGTGGAGTAAATAGTTAAAGTATTGAAGAAAAAACTCATCAACTTATTATAGAATTCTGTATCCAGGTAAATTATCCTTCAAAAGTTAAGGAAAAAAGACTTCTCAGAAGAACAAAATTGGAGGAATATTGTCTTACAAGAAATGTTAAAAGAAGTTCTTCAGAGGAAAAAAAATGTAGGCAGAAACTTGGATTTATGTAAAGAAAGGAAGAGCATTTCAGAAGTAATAGATGAAGGTAAAATAAAAGTCATTTTTCTTATTCTTTACTAACAGAAGAGTTTGTATAAAATATTAGTAGCAAGAAAATATGGATGTATAACTTATGGATATGTTGAATATATGACCACATAATAATAAAGGCGGTGGTATATCAATTTCAGAAAAAGCACATTCAGAGCACGGAAGTTTGTCAAGAATATGGAGGGGTATTACATATTAATAAAGGGTCATTGCTCCAAGAAGACATAAAATAACTTGCATTTAATATATCATAACAGACTGTCAAAATACACAGAGGCCAACTGATAGAACTGTAAGGAAAAGTATACAAATCCACTATTATAGTTGGAGACTTCAACATCAATTACAAGTAAGTGACAGATCAAGAGGAAGAAATCAGCAAGAATATAATCGAATTGAACAGCATTCATCTATCAATAGAGCTAATGACTTTATACTTATTCAACAACAGCACTCGTTCTCAAGCTCATGTGAACAATCACAAGATAGGCCACAGCCTAGTAAACAAAACACACCTAAACAATCCTAAAAGAATAGAAGTCATCCAAGATGTGCTAAGATAGCAGTACCAACAAATTAGAAGTCAGTAACAGAAGATAGCTAGAAAATCCCAAATATTTGGAGATGAATAACAAACTTCTAAAATAACACATGCATACAAGAAGTTCTAAGATAAAATTAAAAATATGTTGCGCCAAATAAAAATGAAAATATAAGTTACTAAAATTTGTGAGATATAGCAAAACACTGCTTAGGGAACTTATAGTATGAATGAATATATTAGAAAGAAAGAAAGATCTAGAATCAATAATCTAAGTTTCCATATAGGTAACTTGAAAAGAGAATAAATCTTAAAGTAAGCAGAAGAATATTCTTAAAGAAATAATTAAAAGCAGAATCAATGAAATTGAAAACAGAAATCAATAGAGAAAATCAACTAAACCAAAAGGTGGTTCTTAGAAAAGATCAATAAAATAGATAAGACTCTAGCTAGGCTAACCAAGAAAAAAAGAAAGGACACAAATTGCAATATGAAAGAGGGGACATTCAACTGATTCCATGATTCTATGGAAATGAGAGAAGAATAAAGGAATAACTCTATGCAAATGTGATAACTTAAATGAAATGAACCAATTCCTTGAAAGACACAATCTACTAAAATACCAACTTAAAGAAACTGATAATCTGAATAGGTCTGTATCTATTAAATTGAATAAAAAATTAATAACTTTCTAAAACAGAAAGTTATTTCTGGCCCACATGTGTTCAGTGGTGAATTCTACCAAACATTTAAAGAAATGATACCAATTCTTTACAGTCTCAAACAGGAAAGAGAAACAGAGGGAGCACTTTCTAATCCATTCTATAAGACAAGCGCTACCCTAATGCTAAAACTAGAGAAATATCTCACAAGAAAGGAAGAGTACAGATCAATATCACTTATGAACAAAAATGTAAAAATCCTCAATAAGACATTAACAAATCAAACTCTAAAATGTATAAAAATAATTATACACAATGCAAAATGGGATTTCTTCCATTTATACGAGGCTAAATTGACATTCAAAAATTAATTACTGTAATCCATCATATTAACAGGCTAAAGAACAAAAAACATATGTTTTTTTTCCATTTTTGTCCAGCCTAAACACAGAGCTAAGGATTGCTTCAACTTTAAAGTCCTTTCAAGTTCTTAGCTTATAACATCCACATTTACCTTACGTCAAACCAAACACTGTCATTTTATGTCAAATGAACACCAAGACTCCTAGGACTGCCCTAGAGAATCTCTTGGCTCTGAATCCTCTTGTTAACCTCCTGCACACTTCTCTAACAAACTCCTGAAGCTCAGCCTCCCCTTGATACAATGGATTGCTTCAATACTTACTGCAAAGGAAATGAGAGAAGAGAGAGACGAGAGAGAGAGAGAGAGAGGAGAGAGAGAGAGAGAGAGAGGAGAGAGAGAGTAGATATTGTAAAATCTCTGATTTCTGCATCTGAATATCTTCTTCTCTGTACAGTTAATCTTTCATTCTAGCTTAAAGTTCCAGAAGAAAGATGCTTCCATATAATGTTCCTATTTGGGATTTGAGTTATATACATTCTTTGTTCTGAGAAAACTTGCCTCTGCATGTACACCACATCCACATTCTCAGTCCGTCATCATATTGAGTCTGAGACCAAGGTTAACTGACTGATCACTGTTATCAGTCAGTGGCAGATTTGGATCCAATTAGGACGCACAACTCCAGTTCAGGCCATGTACCAATAATTATGTTGCTAACAATATAAGTACTCAACTTTGCAATGCATTCTTTTTTAATATGAAAAGTCTTTTCTTGGTCAAGTCAGTCTTTATTTTTCACAAAATCTACTCTTGGCTTTTTCTTAAGGTATTCGCATAACCAAACACACTTTACACTCTCCTAGTAATAACCCTATACTTTCTTCTTTTCCCTGCAACCCTGCACAAAGCCTGCTCAGACCACCATCATTATAACACTTCTCACATTCCAAAGTCTTCAGCCCTTGATTGCTGTTGATTTTTATCTCAGGATTCTATTGCGAATCATATGGAAATGGTTATTGAATGAATGAAGAACAGTGATAGAGATTCACCAGAAAAAAGTTTATTTAGCAACTCTTTTGAGATTAAAAAAAAAAACCAAACCAACCAAAACAAAAAAAACCCATTGTCTTCTGTGGAGTACTAAGAACAGAAATCAGCAAAGCACTTTTCATTCATGTGGTCTTCAAACATTTCCTTGATCTGTGGTAGTGGAAAGAAAGAAAATTAAGAGGAACATCAGTTTCCATGAGCAAGAGAATATTCTTTCCTTAGATCTGGGTAGCACAGTGCCTAAGGAAAACCCAATTACAGTGGAAAAATGCTTCTATACAGATGCCAGTATGCAATCCTAGAACTGCCTGAAGTTTGACACAGTCAGTGGCTTTTCAGTAAATGTGTTTATTAATAATATGCAGTAACAATAAATCTCTCTGAAAAATATTTAGCCACAATTTTATGAAGACTTGAGGGACAAGCCAAAGGAATTCTATGTTTTGAGGAGTGTGCATGCTTACCTTTGCCGCAAGGAGATTGTACTCAGCAATTGCAAACTCATCTGAAACAAACAAAAAGCATTAGGTGAAGTGAGGGAAAGCAAACATCTGTCAGATACAGGTCAATGAAGGAATCTTACTGTAGGAAGCACGTGTTGTGTCAGAAATGTCAGCACTATGCATGGAGCATGCTTGCTGCCTCTACTATTACTATCCTTTCAAATACAGTATATTTTCTTTTACCCCAAACTCCTGAAGGACACTTCAGATATTCTACTTAATTAAATCTTATATTGTTCTAATGTTGCTTTATCTGATGAACACAGAACTAAAAATTCTACAGTTGTTTTGTATTAGTAGTTGATGTACTTATAATGTGGAAAGTTTCTAAAATGTATAAATAGACGCAAAAAGAGAAGAATCCGACTTGATGGAGACAAAAAGAAGTGATAAGGGCACTTAATGTAATAAATTGCCCCAACATATCTCTCAGATCTAAATTTCCATGATTAGGGATTTAATTTTTATGTGAAAATCACTCACACTCACCTGTCTCATAGTAATCATAGACTTTCACTATGGCTGGTTTCAGATCTCGTATTGGAATGTCTTGCAGAACCGTGAAGGAAAAGCTCAGTGTGTTATTTGACACCTAGAAGGCAAAAGGGAATTAAATGATCTTCAAGGGAGCTTTCTTTTCTCCTTGAATAAGTTTAACCATTCATGTTTATTTGGGGAAAAGACTTTATCAACCAACAGCACACTGCAGGATCCTTAAATTGTGCACAAATCCCTCGGAGTGGATGGGAAAATCTCCAAATTATTTATATTTCTTTTCTTTTATTTCTTTTAGAAACAGGGCCTCACTATGTTGTTCTCAAACTCAGGCAATCCTCTTGCTTCAGCCTCCTGAGTGTATTTCTTAAATAACTAACATAACTCATATACCTCCATCAATGCCAGCACATGCCTCTGTTTATAAATGATGTATGATTTTTATTGGTTCACTAGCTATGTCCATTTTAAAATATCCAGAGGTTTGGTACAGTTTCACCCTTTGTCTTGCAGAAATATCTGTGTAGCCTCACAGAGGTATCTAAAAGTTTGATCATTGTAGCCTTAAGTTTATAAAATTTATAAAGTATAATTCCCATTAATATATGCATGAATAAACCATGCTACTACACATATCTATAAAGCCAGATTGTTTATTGGTGGACTGGTCTTACTGTTTCATGACCCAAGCCCTTGTGGATACTGGCAGCGCTTTCCCCTTTTATATTGTTGATGGGATGTTAGTAGAATAATTGACCAATCACAACGGTCACTTTCCTACTTTACTCAACATTTTCAAAATAACTTGTGGATATGATGAACACACTCTGTGCAGAATTTCTTGCTTATAGAGTCCCAGAAATACTCCTATCCCAATATTACAATTAGCCATTTCTGCTCATAATCCCAGGTGAAATATAAATTAACGAAAGGAGAACATTCACTGGAATTAATATTAGAATTCTCAAATTTCTAGCATGGAAGTGATGTTTCTAAAAGGCATTCGCTCACTCCCAGATGCTCCCATAAGAGAGATTCTGATCTATATATTTTTTGCAGCTAGATGGGCAGGGCTCTCACCTTATCCAGGTAAATCAAGACGTGGTCGTTGCTAACTTCTGTCCGGCTCACATGGTTAGATCTTTCAAGCTGAGGAAAATTAAGACATCACAAATGTTAAGAAATAGATGAAACACCTGCAGTATCCAGAGAGAAATTGCCAAAATAAGCCTAATGGTAGAATTGTTTTGAGCACTTTTTGTAAGTAAAGAATGCAGTACAATTAAAAATGAAAGGTAATTTGGATAAAGAGTTTAATGTTAGTATGATACATGATCTATGTGTAAAGTTGATTTCTCTGAAGAAAAAGGAACTAAATATCTGAAACTTGGGAATTACTCATATTTTAAGATTCAATTCACATTCTATTCCTTCATGAAGGAGTTTTCTTTCTTCTTTTCTTGCTCTAACTTAACAGTATTCTCATTTTTTTCTTAACTTGTGTAATACTTATAGTTACGTCAACCGAGAATTTTCACTGGTTCATGTTCATATGCTTATCTTATTCATGTTTATATGGTTTATCTTAGAATCTCTAATGAGATTCTAAGCTCCATGAAAGCAGGAACCTACTGACTTTTCCCTAGTACTCATGGCTCCTAGAGAGTTCTGTGCACATGGTGGGCACTCGTACAGACATGCTGAATTAAATTTCTGAGTTTGGAGAATGTATAAGTGTTTGATAGAGGATGATTTAATAGTATTTTAATATTTGTATTGTTTTAGTCTGGGGATACACAAAACATTAAAAAAAATAGGACATTCTGGACTTTTAATAAACCTACCATTTTCACTGTTGGTTTGAGGGGAATGAAGCCAGACAGCATCTTCACATCAGCAATCGCCATGTTGGAGGCAGGACGGCTGCCAGTGTAACTGAAGATCCACGGGAGAAGGAATTAGGGTTTTCTGTGTTATTAAATATCCTCTTTTCCTCTGTCTACACTAAGCACTCGATGGCTCTAAAAGGTACAGTCTAAGTCTTCCCAAATATCCTACCCTAGTGGTGTGGAAAACTGGCTGTGTATAGAATTTTTAGGGAGCCTGTTCAAGCCACAGAGACCAGGCCGTATTCTAGACCCGGTGAATCAGATTTTCAAGTGCATGGGGCTGACTCTACAAGTGCTGCATGAGCTTGAGATTCTTATCTGTGCCACTTATTTATTACATAAACTGTATCGTGTTGTTGTTCCTGAATAGTATCCCTAATCAAGTTATTCTTGTAGACAGATACTTTTGTGTAAACCCTGTAGCTATTTGAATATTGCTGCATATATATGTATGTTTGCCCCCAAATTGATTATATTATATATAACCTGAGATTTATTTATTGCCAATAGGAATTCTAACTAAAGAGTTTCCATTTTCTTCTATTCATGCCTTTAAGAGTTCTTGATCTCTGTTCTGAATAAATCAAGAATAATATGCTGTTTCATTACATTAGAAGGAATTCAGGTCAGAGGCACGGGGTAATGTTCTTTATTTAATTATTACTTGGGGGACTTATTACCTTTATTATTATTTTTTCTTGAGACAGAGTCTCACTTTGTTGCCCAGGCTAGAGTGAGTGCCGTGGTGTCAGCCTAGCTCACAGCAACCTCAAACTCATGAGCTCAAGCGATCCTTCTGTCTCAGCCTCAAGAGTAGCTGGGACTACAGGCATGTGCCACCATGCCCGGCTAAATTTTTCTACATATTTTTAGTTGGCCAATTAATTTCTTTCCATTTTTGGTAGAGATGGGGTCTCACTCTTGCTCAGGCTGTTTTTGAACTCCTGACCTTTAGAGATCCACCCCTGGGCCTCCCAGAGTGCTAGGATTACAGGCCTCAGCCACCGTTTCCGGACAACTCATTACCTTTAAATAATGAAGTTGGACTATGATAGATCCTGGAGGCAGAAGATGGAAAGTATAAACCACATCATAGAGAAATTCTATTATACCAAGTTAAAAAAAATACATTGCTGTTTCAACAAATGTAGTGTAAACATTTACTGTTGGACTGCTTTACTTAATGAGGAGTTCCAGGAAGAAGATTGGTTGTTATTCCCAGAATTAGGTGACACAATCAGAAGGTCTTACCTGACTTTCAGTGAGATCTGGAAGCTGGTGTGAGCTTTGGGTCCATCACAAGTTTGGGGTAGAGTCTGTACCTCTAAAGCAAATGGGAATTCTTCCTTTTCTGGGACAATATTGAATTTCAAGGATGTCTGTGGAACATTAAATACAAAGTCTGTTTCTCGCCCTTCCCAGAATTCCTCTCAAGTTCCCTAGGTCTTTCTCTGACTTGCCCCATTGTTTGCTAAAGTAGGACATATTGGTGAGAACAGGCACTGTCCCCATCTGCTCTCTGTCCTCATCTGCCCAAAAGTCTTACCTGGAGGTAGACACAGGCTTCTCCTGTCACTCTTGTGTTATATTCCCCAGGCAGCTCTGGCAATGAGACCTGCTGTAGCACCAGGCGGTTGTTATTGTCCACTTGGAATTTGGTGGAAAATGCCCCCGAAGACTGGACTGTCACCTGTACAGCCTTGCCAGTCCTGGTAAAAGTAGCTGCTCCATATTTAGACAAAGCATGAAGAGCCACCACTGTGTCCTGGAAGAGATGAATGAGAGAACCCACTTTTAGATATGTAACCCTTGAGGGCTGAGATAGTTTCCAAAGGCACACATGAGCTGTCACAAAGGGGCTTTGATTTCCTATTTCCCTAACTACTTAAATATTGGAGCTCTAATCTGAAGATTGATTATAATCTTTGGATAGATGACAGAACTGTAACATTCACATATCTACCTTAGACTATATGCCCTAGACATTTATTTATTTATTTATTTTATGAGACAGAGTCTCTCTTTATTGCCCAGGCTACAGTGAGTACCATGGCATCAGCCTAGCTCACAGCAACCTCAAACTCCTGGGCTCAAGCGATCCTTCTGCCTCAACCTCCCGAGTAGCTGGGACTAAAGGTATGCACCACCATGCCCGGCTAATTTTTTCTATATATATTAGTTGGCCAATTAATTTCTTTCTATTTATGGTAGAGACGGGGTCTCGCTCTTTCTCAGGCTGGTTTCGAACTCCTGACTTTGAGCAATCCACCTGCCTCGGCCTCCCAGAGTGCTAGGATTACAGGCATGAGCCACTATGCCCGACCGATATTTATTTTTAGTTGCCAGAGAATCGATTGCTTTCTCTCTATAAATATATGGATACTGAATATGGAAATATATGTGAATGGGAATCATCCATTGGCAACAGCTATTTGCCGAAGATGTCCTTCTTCACAACTGTGGTCATTTCTGCCACCACCCACCCACAGTGCAGTCTGCATCTCTCCCCAGGTGAAACTCAGCTCTGCTGCTGAGGTCAGTGCCCTGCGGGAAGCTAGGGCTCCTCGTAGCCATGATCAGGGTCATGCTTCAGTTTCTTCAGGGAAATAAAAGATGAACATTATAACTATTTTCTTGATTAAGTGACATTTTTGTCTGGCTTTCCTTTTTTTAATTTTTTTGCTTTCCCATTTTTGTTGGACTATTTGCTTTGCCCAGTGGATCCCCTTGGTATGCCGTATTCTCAATACTCATCGACACTCAACCTGGATGACATCTTTCAAGGAATAGATTTCTCAGAAATGAATGATAACTGTTTTAACAGATTTAGTCTTTTTTCATTAGTATGGAAAAATAAGAGTTTAACTACAATATACAAAGGATGGGAAGTCATTTTGTCAGAGTCTCTTCTCTGTTAGCATGAATATACTCACACCTAAATCTTTGAATTCCTGCCACACATTTATTGCTGGATTGTTTAGATATGAGATTGTATAGTTAGGCTTAGGAGGTTGATTGAACAAAGGCCGTTCTTTGTGCTTCTGATGAACAAATTTGTGTGTCAAGAGTGGGATGAAGGAAGCACAAAATGTGTCACCTTTAAAAGAAACCCATTAAAGGGACCTAAGAATGGAGAGATTTGCAAGGAGAGATTGTTGGATTTTGGGCAGCTCCACTGAGCAGTTTGAAAGAGACCCTTAGAACTTCCAGAAGAATGGTAGGAGATGTTCCCTTCATTCTGCTGGTGTCCCGGTACTGCTTTAGGGAGGTAGAGCTCTTACTAGAGACAGGAGACTGATAACGACACTGAATTCTGGGGTGCTGGAATTCTGAGCATTTTCTTTTATCCCTCTTTGACTTTTGTTTTCTCTTATTTCTCATTATCCTTGAATGCTAAAAACCTCTTCATTTCAAATTATTGTCACCTTCTTTGTTCATCTTGTACGTACTTGTCTTGCTCAAACCTTCTGCTACCTGAAGTAAAAGGTTCTGGCAAATCACTGACCTGGGTGGAGGAGAAACCGCCCTGGGAATTCTGTTGCTTTGTGATCCACTTCACAATGCGTGTCGCAGAAGCCAGGTCCTCCGAGGTGGGGGCTGGCTGCGCCGTGAGGTGAGCGAGGAGCACGTAGGACGTCATCTCCACCTCAGCAGAGGGAGCCTGGGGCTCAAAATACCTCACTTGTGGCTTGGGTTTCTCTGGCCGCTCCCAGTGGACTGACTCGTCTGGGTGTGAGAAAGAGATATTTGTAAGTGACCCATATTCATACTTAATTCACAGTAAAAGAGCCAAGCCAGTGCTGAAGTGAGGGCCGCATGCCAATGGCAATCTCTTGAACTTTATATATCAATAACACTTTTCCTTCTATGTAAACATGAACGCGGTGTGTTTCAGTCCAGCTAAGACAGGTATGGTGCTGGATCAGAGGCCTATACCCATCTGTGTTTTCAAATAATTGCTGTAGTTGGGTTGGTGGGAGAAAGAAATGGCAGAGCAAGTTCTCTCACTGGCTGTGGCTATTTTCCTATTTCTGATGTTATCTAGAACTTATCTGGAATTTGTTACATTTCCTATGAAGCCCGTCCTTAGAGATTTCTTGTGGGGATCACAGATCACATGAAATAATAGAATTTACACTTTTTAATAGATTGGGAAAAATACAGTAATTCTTGAAATACCAAAGGCTGACATGGAGATGAAACGATGGAAACCAATGCACATGCTGTGGGATGCCAGTTGCTCGTTGCAGAGCTATGTGTCAATATTCAGCAAAGGGGAAGATGTGCTCAGCCCTCTAATCAGTCACCTTACTTGTTGAATAACGTGGGGAAACTCACACATGAGCACAAGGAGACAGGCACTTGAGTATTTATTGTAGCACTGTTTGCAATAGCAAAAAATAAGAAGAAAAGGTCCATGAGGAGAAACTTAGTATGTAAAGTCTGACCTATTTTTATACTGTAATATATTATGCAGCAGTGTAAATTAATAACTAGAGCTAATACAGGCATGCATACAAGGGACTTCATTGGCATAATGTTGAACTTAAAAAATAAAAGGCAAACAAATAAACAAAAAATCAAGCTTCTGAAATATCCAAAAGTGTGATATTGCTTATCTAATGATGAAAACAATCTAAAAATATGAATATTACTTAGGGATACATATGCAGGAAAAACACAAAGAAATCCATGGAAGTTATAATGCCAAATTCAGGATAATGATTACCTCTGTGAGTGGACGAGGTACACGGGAGAATTTTCCTGCATTGGTAATATTAATATTTTAATTTTTAAGCTGGGAAGGAGTCATATAGGTTTTTTCTAATTATTCTTTATGCCTTTTTTGTGTAACTGAAATATTCCAAATAAATTTTAAAAACTATTGATGGCACTTTCAAAAGAGAAATGTTGAATGTATTTTGTTGGACATCTTATCATTTGCATTTTATTTTTTTCTTCAGTGCTTCATATAGACCATGGCATATGTAGAAGTATTGTGTGAATATGAATAGATTGGCTGACATTATTGGTTTTTTTAAATGAACTTAAAATACCAGAATTTATTCATGGGGCTACCTCCATCAATTTTTCCTTATGTTTAAGATGATATGATGTACCATAGGGTTGAGTATATATTAAGAATAGATATTTTAGTAATAATAGCTCATACTTTCATTAACTAAGCACCATATATTATACTAAGTGTTTCATATATGTTAACCTATTTAATACACACAAAAACGCTATGACGTACATGCTATTATCCACATTTTACTGATGCAGGAACCAAAACACAGACAGGTTAATGACTTGCCCAAGATAACACAAGTGGCACACTCTGGAGCTAGTCTCCAGAGGCTAAGCTTCCCACTACTATGTATGCAGATGGTCCCCAAGTCACGATTGTTTGATTTAACGATGTTTTGATTTCACCCTGGATTTATTGAGATGTGACCCCATTGTAAGTTGAGAAGAACTGTACTGTGTCTTATCTTTGGATGTAAGATTTGATTAAATTGTATAAAAATTGAATTAGATTTCATAAAAGTATGATATAGACAAAATATATATGACATAGATAAAAGAAGAGAGGGCACAGGGATCACCAGAAGTAGCAGTAGAGGGTTTTCCCAGTGTAGTTCTTGATGCAGAGAATATGGGACAGAAGGAGGATCTCATGTTTGCTCTCACCTTTCTTCACAGATTCCTCATGAAGGGACTTGAGTACTTCTGCCCTCTTGTCCTGGTTACCTGCCAGGGCAAAAGCATAGGCCAATAGTGCCTTGGTGTAGGCATGTCTGCCATGGGCTCCTTCCTTTGCTGACTTCCAGGCTGTCTCCAGGCAGAACAGGGCATTGCGGACAACAGGATGCTGCGAAAGGACCACAGGAAGCGAGTGAACAGGGTGCTGGCATTCTCAGGTAAACACACAGAAGTTTTTCAAATGCATTTTTCCTGTCTGTTCCTCATTCTTATGATAGAGAGAATAGTATTTTTATCTGTTATTTTTCTATTCCAAAGGCATAACTTTAGGATTTTTTTTGTGGGGGTTGAGAAAAAGTCTGGGGCATCACTAAGAAACCTTTCTTAATGGACTGGCAAAATTCTCTATCCATCTGGGAAGCATCAGCACTGCATAGAAGGAAAGGTGACATTTCTTTTAGTAGGACAGTAGTTCAGAGAGCAGGTAAGCAGTTTCATTGCAGCCAGACCTACCTTCAGTGGAGGCATGAGGTAGTACCTACCGTGACTGGGAGAGGAATCTCCAGAAGAGCAATTGTAACATAGGCGGAGAGGGTGGCTTCGTCTTCTACTCCTCCCTGTAAACATGAGAGGAAGAGATTTGAGTAATTCTCCTTCTGAGAATGCTTTTGATCAGCTCTTTTCATCTGCTGTGTCATGCGATTTATCCCTACACACATCCATTCCTGTGGGGCAAGATATAACCAACCTAAGTTCTATCCTCTTTTTCTTGGTGGTATCCACAGGTTTTATTTTTCCCTGATACCTTCTTTTATGAATTTCTGCATTTGGATTCGAATCAAGATGGTGGACAGGAAACATTGCCAGACAGAGTGTCTTTGCAGAAAAGACAGATTCTAGTAGAAATTAGAAGAAAGAAGCAAGAAGACGAGCGAGCATACATCGGATGAGGGTCAGAAGGAGGGGCACCTGAGACCACAGGAGACTCCCATGGGAGGAGGTTGCGGAGGAGAACTGGAAGCAGAGACCTCCAGAGCAGCCTGGATTAACTCTCCCCTCCGTTGCATCTCGGACGGCTGGTTGGCGCCGCAGTGGATGGAAAGACCAGTGGACACCCGCCCAGAGATGGCCACCGCCAGTAAGCGGTAAGCCTGTAGTGGACGCGGCACTAGGCTCCCAAATCCCTCAGGGCACCTCCGTGTGCACAGACTTGAGCCACGTGGCAGGCTCCATATTGCCTCATTCTCCCCTCCCCCAACCCTATCCGCTGCTGTCAAGAGAGACAGTATAGCCACCAGCCGGAGGCACCTACAGGGAAAGGGACCTTCCCTTTTGGGACCCTATAGCTGACTGAGGGGAACTCAAATGGTGAGCTCCCCATCCGCCAGCCCTCCCAGGAGCTGCTGGCACAGTGATCCCAGGAGAACGGGGAAGACCCTGAGGCTGAGAGACATAGACCCAGCTTGGGCTCCCTGTGGGTGAATTGGGACCAGCACTCCTTTCCCTGGTGAGGATATAATTTGAACTCTGGGACCCAGAGGTCAGACCTACAGACCAGATCCCGTGCACCCAGGTCTTGCATTGCCTGGGACACAGAAGGGATATATGCGAACAGCCTACTGAGGTGTGTGTGCCTTCAGGGGCAGATCAGCATTCTAGAGGGCAACCCCCCTCCCAAAAGAAGGCCGTGCACCCAGCCCAGGTGGAGTTCCTGCCCAGGGAACCTCTCAGCCTACATGACAGCCAAGAGAGGCCCAGTGGCATGAGGTCTGGCCTGCTGGCAGAGACCCAGGAGTGCCACAGAATTGGAGAGGGTGGAAAGAAGCGAGGCCCGCTCCAGATGGTGGGTCTCAGACAGCCCCACCCCCATATGCAGACTCTCTGACTGAGTGGAGCCATTCCAGCCCCTCCTTGGCAGCTTTTCCTGGAAGCAGAAAACAGAACTTTGATCCCTACCAACGGCATCGGTGGTGCCTGAGGGCAGGCTTACCCAAGCCAGCTCTGCCCAGACTCACTCCCAGACCAGCCCTCACTGAGAGGGAGAAAAGGACACACCTGGAAGTTCCAGGGCCCCACCGACCACCTGAGGCACTAGAGTGCCCCTCCAGAGGAACAAGAGCTGTTCAGAGGTCACAAAAACAACAACATAGCCTGTTCCTCCAAGCAAGCGCCACCTACTGACAAGGAGGACACCCTGCACACCCTCTTCACGGCACCTACTGACTCATTATACAGGGAGTGGTCGGAAGTCAACTACAGACACCATCTACCGGCTCAGAAACTAAACAAGGCATGTGAATACCCAAATGAAAACCTAAAGGAAAGAAGCAACAAGTGATCGACATGGGAAGAAATCAGCGAAGGAACTCCAGAAATATGAAGAACCAAACAGAAACCACACCCCCAAAGAGAAGCACCAGCCCCTTAGAAACAGACACCAACCAAAATCAGGCAACCAAAATGACAGAAGAGGACTTCCGAATGCGGATTATAAGAAAATTCAACGAGCTGCAAGAACAGCTCTATAACCAACACAAAGAAACCACAAAAAGCCTCCAGGACCTGGAACAAAAGTTCACTAAAGAAATCAATACAATGAAGAAAAGTTTAACTGAACTCTTGGTAATGAAGAATCAATTCAGGGAACTACAAAATTCAGTGGAAAGCCTCAAGAACAGGGTAGATCAAACCGAAGAAAGGATCTCAGAGATTGAAGATAACACCTTCCAATTAAATAAATCAGTCACAGAGATAGAGCAGAGAAACAAGAGAAAAGAGCAAAGCCTACAAGAGATATGGGATTATGTGAAGAAACCTAATGTGAGGGTCATAGGGTTACCAGAAGGGGAAGAAGAAAACTCTCAAGGGTTGGACAAGCTATTTGAAGATATAATAGAGGAAAATTTCCCAGGCCTTGCTCAAAATCTTGATATACAAGATCAAGAAGCTCAGAGGACCCCTGGGAGATTCAATTCAAACAAGAAGATGTCACAACATGCAGTCATCAGAATGACCAAAATATCAACTAAAGAGGCCCTTCTAAGAGCTGTAAGATGAAAGAAGCAAGTAACATACAAGGGAAAGCCAAGACGAATAACACCAGACTTCTCTACTGAGACTTTACAAGCAAGGAGAGACTGGGGCCCCATTCTCACTCTTCTGAAACAGAACAATGCCCAGGCTAGAATCTTATTCCCTGCAAAACTAAGTTTTGCATATGAACGAGAAATACAGACATTCTCAGAAAAGCAAACACTGAGGGAATTCACCAAGGCAAGACCAGCCCTAAAAGAGGTACTCAAAACAGTGTTACCCACAGATCAGCACAATAAACACTTACAAATGTAAATCTACTCAAAGCTAAAGATCAAAGCCCAGACACTACAATGGCTCAAGAGAGAAAACAAAGCAAATGAACAGAAATCTTCCCCACCTACCAGTTATCTCAATAAATGTGAATGGCTTGAACTCCTCACTCAAGAGATATAGCCTGGCCAAATGGATAAAAAAACACAAGCCAAGTATCTGCTGCCTTCAGGAAACACATCTAACCTGAAAGGACATTAGCCTAGGCAAAGAATTTATGAAGAAAACCCCAAAGGCAATCACAACAGCAACAAAAATAAACAAATGGGACCTAATGAAATTAAAAAGCTTCTGCACAGCCAAAGAAACTACCAAGAGAGCAAACAGACAACCCACAGAATGGGAGAAAATTTTTGCAAGCTACACATCTGATAAAGGGCTGATAACTAAAATCTATTTAGAACTCAGGAAAATCAGCAAGAAAAATTCAAACAACCCTATCAAAAAATGGGCAAAGTACATGAATAGAAACTTCTCAAAAGAAGACAGAATAATGGCCAACAAACATATAAGAAAATGGTCAACATCTCTAATCATCAGGGAAATGCAAAACAAAACCACAATGAGATATCACTTAACTCCAGAGAGAATTGTTCTTTATCCCCAAACAACAAATGCTGGCGTGGATGTGGAGAGAGAGAAACACTCCTACACTGCTGGTGGGATTGCAAACCAGTTCAACCTCTTTGGAAAGCAATATGGAGATACCTCAAAGCGATACAAGCAGATCTACCATTTGATCCAGCAATTCCACAACTGGGCATCTACCCAAAAGATCAAAAGTCACTTTATGAAAAAGACACCTGCACTCGAACGTTTATAGCAGCACAATTCACAATTGCAAAGCTATGGAAACAACCCAAGTGCCCATCAATTCATGAGTGGATTAATAAAATGTGGTATATGTACACCATGGAATACTACTCAGCATTAAGAAACAACGGTGATATAGCACCTCTTGTATATTCCTGGCTACAGCTGGAACCCATTCTACTAAGTGATGTATCTCAAGAATGGAAAAACCAGCACCACATGTATTCACCAGCAGATTGGTATTAACGGATCAACACCTAAGTGGGCATATAGGAGTAACATTTATTGGGTGTTGGGAGGGTGAGAGGGGGGAGGAAGGGATAGGTATATACAACCACAACGAGTAAAAAATGCAATGTTTGGGGGATGGACATGTTTGAAGAAGTGGGGCATGGGCAATATAAGTAACCTCAACACTTGTACCCCCATAATACACTAAATAAATTAATATAATAATAATAATAAAAAAGAATTTCTGCATTATTCTTTTCTCTCCTCATCCTTGTAGATATCATAATGGACAAATCAAAACTAGCCCCAGAGCAGTTCACCTTCATGGCATTGTTGAACAGTGACCCAGAGCTCCTGAAACAGCCGTTGTCCTTCTGCTTCTGGGAGAGCCAGGTGAGGGCCTGGGTGATGTGTGCTTCGTAGATGAAGATGTGGTTTCGAGCTTGGGCAAAAGTCTTCAGTACAAAGGCTGTGAGCCTGAGAGGGGAGGAAGTGGTGAAGATATTTATGTTGTTAGAATGGTTCTATAGCTACTTCACAGCAACAGGCTTCATAAGACACTTCTTACATTGCTGTGAGTTATCTAACAGGAATTCTCATGTACTTAGAGATTCTATCTTCTTTACTCTTTGATTAATCTGCTAGATCTGGTATTTCCCTGATCACTCACTTTCCCTTTGCTGCAGGAAGTCTAAGTACTTTTAATTTCCTTATTTTTCTTAATTATTTGAGCAAGTCTTTAAATTAGTCTTCTCTTTAGAGATTTCCTTTAGTAGATGACAGAATCTTCTCAAGTGTAGCTCCTGTATGCAATAACTTCTACTATTGCGCTGCCACTACTATTTTTAAAAATAATGTTTTATATTACAATCTTTCTTCCCAATAATTTCTTCCTATTAATGAATTTATTCTAAGTCAAGATAAGTATGATCTATAAGACATAATATAAACTGAAGTTAACAAGATTTATCTGGAAGTTATGTGGTATATTCACTGACCACATCATTTAAAAAACTCATGGTTATGAGAGCTCTTTTAGAAAGAGTAGCTATTTTGGAAGGAATACTTTCATATACTATTAACAAGATCAATTTTGGGAATAAGTCTAACACATATGCATTTGGATATCAGCTTTTCTGCTTGTTACCCTGCTAATCTTGGTGTATTTATCGAGTATAACCAACTATAGGTCTAATAATGCATATTGGTTAGGGTTGCTGTGAATATAATAGTGATAATATATGTGAAAAGAGGTGGCACACAAATAGCTCAAAAAATTATTCTTTCCTTACCAGGTGTTGCCCTGGCTCCTGCCATGTTGCTCCCCAAAGGTGCTGTAGGAGCCATCATGGTGCTTGTAGTTCAACTGTCTCTGATAACCTGGAGTGGAAGGTTCATGAAACAACATGACAGATTAATGTTCATGCCGAGGCCAGAGAAAATACTAAAATATGTTGGCTTTTCTTGTGACCTTTCTTAAATTTGTTGTTATATATTATAAAGTTCCAAGCCTTAAACATTTTATTGGACGTTGGAGAGTGGATAGTTTCCATGAAATTAAGTTCTATAGTACTCTTATCATAGTAGCTATCATAATGATAAGCTAATGTATTATACTATTGATAAGTAACTGAAGCCTCTTGAGAAATCCAGTAGAAATAACAATGTGAAGTTTCCACTCACTGGTTCAGTCACTTACCAGTGTTGAGATAACCAATGGCCTTGGACTCGATATCTGGAGTCAGCTGCTGTGTTTCATTTAGATAATCCAGAACATAGATGTTGGGAGCAAAGAGGACCATATTCTGTTCTCCACAGCCATAGGGCATCTGGAGGAGATTTTGTGTGTTTTGCATAGCAGAGCCTAATATGTCTCCTGAGGAATGGGAGAGATGGGAAGTCATAAAGTTTAGAGGTTATAATCTACCAGAATCATTAAGAATAAATAACTAGTCAAGCTAAAAAAATGAGGAATTTTAGGAAGGGTGAGACTTCCAGGGACAGAGATGTGACTGGAAACATTAAACAAGCCCAAAGAAGGAAGAAAAAGAAGCTAAAGTTATAGTTGTTATTTTAGTAAATATGTATGGAAATAATTATAATAGAAGCTATTAATGCCAAATCCACTAGGGGCTAGAGACTCACCCACAACTGAGACAGAGGCTCGGGCAGATCCTTCTACAATATTTGGTGGCAGTTTCAGGGATAATTCTTCAGTTACCTCAGCACCTAGAGAAAGAAATCAGCCATATGAATATTATTTCTGCATTTTATCTTTCTGAAGAGCTCTATGACTTAGAAGATAGGACTATTCCTTACATCTAAAGTTATCCTAAAAAGTTGTCCCTCCTTTTAATAGAAGTTTTTTAATATCTTAAAAATGGGCTACCGAACTTTTCAAAATTTCTTTTCCAACTATCTTTTCCCTTATATGTAGAATTAATTCCAAAATAAGATAACAAACTGCTAAGAGTTGGGTATATTGTCATTCCATTTCATCTGTTAGTCATCTGATGGCTAACACATGATAGTTATTACAAAATTATCCATTTAGTGCCCACCTTAACCTCTTCACTCAACAGTTGTATGGAGAACCAACCCCCCCGACAATGCCCTGTAAGTATGTGTGTGTGTGTATATATATATATATATATATATATACACACACACACACAAAGGAAAAATTTCTCCAAAGGTCCAGATTCTTACAATAATGCTATGTCCTTTCTTTAGTCAAATTTTACCAGCCATAAAGACAGTATTTTTTGAAAGAACTAGAAAATAAGGGTGAAGTGGTGAACAAGAATAGTATTTGACTCATTGAAACTAAAATAACATGACAAACATATATTTATTGCCATTTTAATCTGGTGAATTATTTGAAGATGAAAATGATAGAATTGTAGTATTTATTTTCATACTGAATCCTTGATAAAATTAACATTAAACCTTTTATAAAAAATACAGATGCCTTAAGCAAAGACAAAGGACAAATGAAGAAGTGAAATAAATATTTTGAGTCATTGAAAATAAAATAATTGCTACTGATGAACATATGTTTACCATCATTTTAATCTTGGTGAATTATATGAAGATCAAAATGAGAAAAGTATAGTATTTATCTTCTTTTTCTCATAAATTAATATTAAAACATTTGTAAGAAAACAGATGCTAAAAAGAATGTTAGAAGACAAATGAAAAAGTGAAAGAAACTATCTGCAGCATAATTAATAGATAAAGAATCAGTGTCCTACTACAAGTAAGTCAGAAAAAGAAAAATTACTCAAAATGAGAATGGTGAAAGTCTATGAAGGCAATTCATAAATGTGCAAAACTTAGCTCATCCTTATTCCCAACACTTATGATTAGGGAAATATGAACTAAAACAATAGCAAAACATTTTTTTTCATCTACATTTTTCCCAAAATTAAAACATTGATAGTGATGGTGATGGTCAATGTATGGTGGAAGTATAAAGGTATTTAGTTAGTAAAAAGGGGGAAATTTTTTAGTTCTTCTAAAACTCAGAATAGAGCAAAATGGTGGAATAGGAAGTCTCAGGCTTCTCTTCTCTTCACAGAAAATTCAACCATCAACTATCTACAGATCAGAACATCTTTTTGAAAACCCATCTTTTGGAAAGAAGTCTGGGACACCTGTGTAGTTCATGGAACTGGATGAAAACCAAATGGGAAGAGTAAGAAGAATGGTCTCAATTTGATCATGCCATTTCATTCTTTCCCTTAAATTAGCACAATGCCAGATGGAGAGGATTCTCCAGGGCCCATGATTTCTACAGGAGTAAAAGAGAACCAGAGGAGGTAATATAGCTTCCCAAGCCTTCTGAAACACTTTTCAGGAAGCCAGAGGTAGTCTTATCTCATGGGGAACACTGGGAGGAATGGCTTGGCTAGACCAGCTGGGGTCAAGTGGAAACAAAGAAAGGATAAAGAGGTCACAGTGACATGCATGTGAATCTTGGTGGTAACTCTGTGTTTCTGCCAACTATGGCGCCCATTCGGAGATACCAGCCAACTGTATAGTCCACCTGCAAAGCTGAGCTGGTCACTTTCAGAAGCATGATATTATGTTCAACCAGGATTGGGATTCTAGATGGCCAGTCTCCAAGCTCAGCCTCAGAACCCATCTCAATGTCCCTGCCCAGGTAGGAGACACAGGCCTCTGCACATTTCAGAGAAATATAGGGGACAGACCTGCTTGACCCAGTTTTCTAAAATGTGGCTCAGCTCAGCCAAAAGGCCCACCCAGTGACTTTGCCCAGGCAGGGAGATACCCACATCCACACATTTTGTAGAGATGTAGGGGCTAGGGCTGCTTGGCCTGAGAGGATAAGCAGCAGCTCAGTTCAGTCAAAACCTCACTCTATGGTTCCACTCACACAGAGGGAAAATTCTCAATCATGAATTTCTAAGGACATAGTCTTTGGTCCTGTCCATCCCCAAGCAGCAACTGCACAGAATCATAGATCCCAGCCTGTAGGGCCCTGATTACTACTTGGAACCTGAATCATCCAGCCAGGCAATAAATCTTCTGACTGTCCAGAGGAGAGGCCAGTACGCAGACAGCAGCTCCATCTCATGGTAGAGCCAAATAAGTGATCCCACCAGATGGCAAACATAGCCAGTGGCACCACCCGTCATCACAAAAAAGGTAGTGGCCCAGTTAACTAGAGAACCCATGATAAGATCTACCTGCTTGAGGTTGTCACCAGATAGCCCTTCCAAAATTACAAGCTAGACTAAATAGCAAATGTTCATCTCTGCCAAAGAATACCTATAAAGGTCAGAAGAGGTGGTTGTCTCCTCAAATGTGTAGACAACAATTCAAGGAAACAAGGATTATGAAGCATCAGAGAATCATGACACTGCCAAAAGAAACTGACGAAAATTGACTTTATAGAAATGGAGATTTATGAAATCACTGACAAAAAATTCAGAACAATCCTCTAAAAGAAGTTCAGTGAACTACAAAAATATATAAATACAAAATTAAATAAAATTTGGAAAACAATACCCTAACAAAATGAGAAGTTTGACATGAAAATAGAAAAAGCTAAAAATAAACCAAATAGAAATTCTAGTAATGAAGTATACAGTGACTAAACTACAAAATTCCATAGAAAGCTTCAACAGCATACTTGATCAAGTAGAGGAAAGCATCAGTGAGCTCAAAGACAGAATATTTGAAATTATTCAATCAGAGGAGCAAAAATTAAAAATAATGAAAAAGAATGAAGAAAACCTATGGAAATATCATCAAGAGACCAAACGGTTGCATCAAAAGAGTTCCAGAAGGAGAAGAAGAGAGAAAAATCGAAAGCATATTTAAAGCAATAATGGTTGCAAACTTCCCTAATCTGGGGATAGATGCCAACATATAGATACAGGAAGCATAGTGTCCCCCAGTCAAATTCAACCCAAAGAAGAGTTTGCCAAGACATATAGTAATCAAACTATCAAAAATCACAGATAAAGAAAAAAATTCTGAGACCAGAGAGAGACAACACATCACATACACAGTAATTCTAATATGACCATCAGCAGATTTTCAGCAGAAACCTTGCAGGCCAGGAGGAAGTGATATAGTCAAAGCACTGAAGGGAAAGAGGAATCCCTGCCAATCAGTAATACTTTATCCAGGAAAGCTGTGTTTTTGAAATGAAGGAGAAATAGAAACTTCCCAGAGAAACAAAAGGTGAGAGAGTTCATCATCACTAGGCCTGCCTTACAGGCATTACAGGAAGAGAGTTCATTAAGCTGAAACCAAAGCCTGCTAATAAGTAACATAAAAAGTACAAAAGCACAACACCTAATGATATAAGTAATACAAAGCCATATTAAGAATATGTTATATATGTAATGAAGATGTGTAAACCAATTTTATCCCTAGTATGAGGGTTAAAAGTCAAAACTATGAACAACAACTATAATTAAAATAGTCAATATACATGTAACTAAATGATACAAATTCTGACACCAAAAACATAAAATGTGTATGGGGGAGTAAAAGTTTGCAAAGTTGTTATCAGCTTGAAATAGACTGTTATAAGTATGAAATGTTCTAGGTAAGCCTCATGGTAACTCACAAAGCAAAAATCTTTAGTAGAAGCACAAATCAAAGCAAAAAAAAAAAACACCAAAAAACAAACAGATTTGCATACTACTATAGAAAGCCATCTAACCACAAAGGAAGACAGCAAGAGAGAAATAAAGAAATAAAATATCTGCAAAAAACCAGAAACACTGACAAAATGGCAGTAGTAAATTCTATCCTATTAATAATTACCTTGAATGTAAGTAGGTTAAATTCACCAATAAAAAGACATAGAATGACTGGAGTAACAAAAAGGAATATCCAACAATATGCTCCTTAAAAAATGCTCACCCAATTTTTAAGGACTCACATAGACTGAAAATGGAGGAAAGGAAAAAGATACTGCATGCAAATGGAAACCCAAAACAAGCAAGGGTAGCCATACTTATACAAAATATATTTTAGATCAAAACTTTAAAGATAAAGGAAAAGAACATTACATAATGATAAAGATGTCAAGTTATCAAGAGATATAATAATTGTAAATATATATGCACCCAACATTAGAGCACTTAAATATATTAAACAAATATTAAAGGGTATGAAGGAAGAGATTGTAATGTGATAATAGCAGGGACCTTCAATGCCCCACTTTCAAAAATGGACAGATCATCCATACAGCAATTTAATAAGGAGACACTGGACTTGAACAATACTTTAGAGCAAATGGATCTTAAAATCCTTTAAATGACCTATAAAAAAAGAAAAAAAATACATCAAATGGACCTAATAGACATATGCAGAACATTTCATCCCAGCAGAAACATAGTATACATTCTTCTCAAGCACACAAGAAACATGCTCCAGGACAGAACATATGTTAGTCCAGAAAACAAGTCTTAGCAAATTTAAGAGGATTGAAATCATATCAAGTCTCTTTTCTGACCACAATGGTGTAAAACTAGAAACTGATAACAGGAGGAATTAGGGTAAATTCACAAATACATGGAAATCAAGTAACATACTTCTGAACAACCAGTGGGCCAAGGAAGAAATTAAAAAATATCTTAAGACTAATGAAAATGGAAACACAACATACCAAAACTTATGAAACACAGCAAAAACAGTTCTAAAAGGAAACTTTATAGTAATAAACACCTACATGAAAAAAGAAG